GGTAGCTATACAGGGAGTTGACTCACATTGATTTTTCTGTGCGTGGGTGTTACCTTCTAGGTTAATTCTTTTTGATCTAACCTTTTCTCTAGTACCTGTTCCCCTTTTCCTATTGGCCAGGCATAGAGATCTTATGTAATTTATGCAACTAACTACTGGAGAAATTTACCTTATATGGTAAATGTGGAACAATAATTACAGGAAATGCATGGAAATGCTGCTGAAATTGTTAACACTATTGATTCATGGAGCATCTTCATGCAGTAGCTTGAACTATTCCTTCATGGACCAATGTGCATTTCCACAGAAAGACCACTGAGAGATGGTGCTGTATAGGGACTACAGTGGATTGATTGGAAATTGGGTGTTTGTAAAGAAATGATGATGGGATTGGGAAATATTAAGTGATACTTGCCCAAAAGACCATTTTCTACCCTGGAAGGGGTACAAGGGAGATCCACACACAAGAGACAGTTGGAAAGGAAATGAACCTTTTATTGTCAATTGAACTTGTGCCTCAAACACTAATGCAAAGCATTTTGCTGGTGGGCTGGTCTTCAGCCCTTGGCCCAGGCTGGAGACTAACTGCACATTGTACCTCTCTTTAGCCAAGTTCAGCTCTAACTACTCTCTAGGCTGGTTGCATGAAAGGGCAAGAAGAGAAAAGAGTGCCAGAAAGGACAGGTTTCACACGCATGTGCTTGAACTTGTCAGTCGCAAGTTCCCTAGCACACGTGGTCTATCAGTGTCCCAGAATATTGCTCCTGAGAGGGAAGACACCTTTTCCCTGGATGCTTACTCTAGCAAAGGAGGGTAGTCAAGGACTGCGCTAAGAGGCTGGGCCAGGGTTGGAATCTGTCCCCTTTTCTGGTCACAAAGCCCAGGCTACTTCTACAAGGCTAATTGGGTAGGGGTTGGGGGGAATAGGAGCAGAAGCTGCACATGGCAAAAGATGGCCATTCCACATTAGCAGGCCACTCCTAAACAAAATGTGACCTTTGTTTCTAGTAGGCCAGTGGTGTTTTTGCTGGTGAGGAGGGTACATCTTGGCCTCAGGTGCCTGTGCTGGCCCAGACTACAGCATAAAAGGCAGGTCTCCAGGTCAGTTCTGGGTGAATGAAAGGCTGTGGTTTGCTCTATAGAAATTTCAGATCTTGCAGGATAGCACATCGCCTGAAGCACAGTGCACGGTGTATTACCTTTTGAACTTCCACATCCCCAGATTATTTGAGCTTGCGTTGTTTATAAAGCAACCCACAGAGCTTCCTAGTGTGCAACAGCAGAGCTCTATGATCTTACCAATTCCACAGGACCAAGAAGCATCTAGCAATCTGATTGGAATCAGGCTTTCTCTCTTGGTCGTATGCACATTCACAATGTTGGAAGAATTCTGCCCAGTTTTATAAAGACCATCTCTTTTGTTTCAACCACAAAAAGAGAGAGAGAACTGCATTTTCTCTGAGGCACAACCTTTGGGATCTTTCAGAATATCCTCTCTTCTGCCATATCTTAGCCTCTAACTCTCTCTGTGCAGAAGCAATGCCCATGAAGCATTTGGTTACTGTACTCTGTAATGATAAAAAGTGGCCTTTCTTTACATTCTGTTAAAATGTGGCATATGTTTTTATCAAGTCCATAGATGTTTTTTGCCTTTTTCTTCTGAGGGCCAATTTAGTTCCACTTCTTTTTATAAAGTAAGATATCATGGATCGTTTTAATTTCCTCTTTGAGCCCATACCATTTGTTTTCTGCCTTTCCATAGCCACACTATTTTGAGATTGGGCTTAGAAAGAGTTAAATGAAAATCAATTAAGTGGTAATTTCACAGTTTCTCCATCTATTACTCTGTTTCCAGTTAGACTTGTTATCTCACCCGTCAAGCAGCTGATACATTATTAGCTTTCAACTGCTCAGGTCACATTTGTTGACTATTTTACCAGGACTGTCTGTTTCTCTCTACTTTGTCACTGGAAGGAGGCCAAACAGAATGAATGTTTGACCTTCCTCTGCTTGAAAGTCCAGATCATGCAAATTCCAGAGCTTGAACAAATCTTAATGCTGCCATGTTCTGTTCGGAGAGTGGGAGTAACTTTTTCACGATGTTCTAACTTTTTGAACCAACCTCTGCCTTCGCCAGGTTAGCACTCTAAGTAGCTCCACACCTCATTTCTCTTCTGCACTAAATGTTCTGTAATGTCTGAAATAGTTGGAGCACATGTCTAGAAATTTGAAGTTTGTTCCTACTATATTTAATATGTTTCTGGAACTACATTAATAGACAAATGAGATTCAATTAATTCCAAAAGTAGCAATAAAATGACTTATCTATGTTTACAAATCATCAGATTTTTCTCATTAATATGCTGATATGTAGAAACAATTTATGTTTCTTAGGTACATTCTTTAGTCCTTTATTTCTCCTTTGATTCAATTTTGACATGTTGTGGTTCAAAGATTTGGGAAGGGTGAGGTGGAGGTTCAGGCAGTCTTTGTGTCCTGTTTTCCCAGGAGTGTCAGTATACAGACCCTAAAGAACTATCTGAGGTTTATAGATCAGAAAGTAACAATTGCTGCATTGATTTTCAAAGGCATGGAGTCCTGTAGGCAGAATGCCATTAGGCTGTGCTATAAAGGAAACAGCAGCTTTTCACTGGTGTACTTGTTAAAGATTACCAGCCTTGATAGTCCTAAATTTCAAAAGCTGGCAAAGTTAAAAAAAGAGTAAGAAAAAGTAGCAACAATAGCCCAGTGACTGTGGCTTGCTATTGTTTGGGCTTTATGGAGACCAGGCATCAAAAGAAGTTTCCTTCCAAAGAAATGATTTGAGATATAATACAGCTAAATTGTTTTGTGTTGTATTTAAGTTTCAGGTTACTTAAAAAAACAGTCACAAATTAATTCCTAGAAAGCAGTATGACATTATAGCAGCATTTGGATTCTTGACCAAATCTGTACTTAAAAGGGTGTTAATCTTAGTATTATGTACAATTGTTGAATTTTTTTCTTTCCCTCCTCCTAAGGTGATTACTTACCTGTTTGAGAAAAGGTTGCTGTGGCTTTAAGATGAATTCTTAAAGGGAGCTTTCTAGGAAGCAGCCTGCTGGGTCTGCTATGTGTGGATTCCATCAAAGTCTTGTCCTATGGATTTTGGGTTCCTTTTCCCTTCCACCTTCAACAGAAGTCGTAAATAAATATTTTGTTGTTCTCTCTCCCTCTTCTTTATCTTTTTTCTATACCAGACTATGAATCCTCCTCTACCCCCACCCCCGCTCCTGGCTGCCACTGTCTTGGCCTCTACACCACCAGGCGCTGCTGCCACCCCTGCTGCTGCTGGAATGGGACCAAGACCTGTGGCAGGATCCAGTGACCAGATTGCACATTTACGGCCTCAGACTCGCCCCAGTGTGTAAGTGAAGGTGTCGTTTATTACTGTTTTAACATTCACTTAAAACTAGGCCCAAACAGCAGAGATAGAGACCGTTCTGAGAAGAGCTGGTGATGGGCTTATGGCTCACCAAGTGGTTTGTGTTCTGTAAACTTCTACCCCATCATGCATATAATTCAGAAACACCTTAAACAAAATGGGCCTAACATGTACTTGCTAGATGGCTGTCCCGCTGAGCAAGGCCTTTCATACTCAGGGGAGCATACTGCTTGCTTCTTATGAGGAGCAGGTGTAAGGGACTGCCCCTCTTTGTAGGCTTTGGGCTTTTTGTCTTCATTTTCATTCCTTGTAGCAGGATATTAAGGAACTGGAAGTTATTCCACACAAATTAGGCCTAACTCCAGTCTGCATATAAAAAGCTTGAGTCCCCAGCAGTGAGTGTCCAGAAAGGTCTAATTGTCCTGCGCAGAGTTTACTGATGGCAGAAAGCACAGATTGTTGTAGCTCCCATCTGACCAGTTCGGAGCGCTGTAAGAACTCTAGGTTAGCGTGACCTGCCTGGTTTCTGTGTGTGCATAGGCACAATCACCATCCTTTACAAAGTTGTTTTGTACTCTCTGTGACCTAGACTATCTCTGCTTTTGACTTTTTCAAATTCAATCTGCTTCCTGGCTGAGCAGACAGAAGCAGGTGCAGCCCAAGCCTCTAGGGTCAGCTTGTGTTGGAAGGCAGCATATTGTGCTTCCTGATGGGGTTTTATACCTTATGTCCTCATTTAAGGCTACTTCCCAAGTCTCCAGGTACCATTTAAAGAGCTATTTTCCCAGTGGGGATACCAGCGAGGTGGGCACTCAGGGCAGCAGCATTAATTCTTTCACACAACACAAAGGCCATTTGGTAGAATACTCACTTCCACACTGGGAGGGATGGGTTCAGCTGCTCTTAACACATTTAAAATGTAGGCAGCAAAATCTTTTTCAATGGTGATTTGCCAATGCTATTGACAGGTTGAAAGATTTTACTTCCTGTCTATATTTATACAATATATTCAAGACTTTGCAAGAGTTTTGAGGGTTTTTTCTATTTTTTTTTTTTGTTGTTTATTTTTTTTTGGAGGGGGGGTGGTACTGGGATTTGAACTCCGGCCTTTGTACTTGCTAGGCAGGAGCTCTGCCACACTCCAGCCCTTTTTGCTCTGGTTACTCTGGAGGTGAAGGTCTCACTTTTTGACAGGCCAGTCTGGACTGTGACCTTCCTGTTTTATACTTCCCACTATAGCTGGGATGACAGGCATATACCACCATGCCCAGATTTTTTTTTTCTTCTGTTGAATGAGGGTCTTGCAGCCATGATCCTTTGCGATCTCAGCTTCCTACGTAGCTTATAAGGACAGCCACCTTTGTGCCCAGCTATTGGTTAATAGGGGTTCTCTTGAATTTTTTTGCCCAGACTGACCTTGAACTTCGATCCTCCCAATCTCAGTCTCCTGAATAGCTATGATTACAGACCTGAGCCATCGGTGTCTGCCAAGCAAGATTTTTGAATACCTTGGGGTTTGTCTGTTGGCCTGAGATCAGCCTTTTCTCCCATCTAGGTGTGTTGCTGTATATCCATACACTCCCCGGAAAGAAGATGAACTAGAGCTGAGGAAAGGGGAGATGTTTTTGGTATTTGAGCGTTGCCAGGATGGCTGGTTCAAAGGCACGTCAATGCATACCAGCAAGATTGGGGTTTTCCCTGGCAATTATGTGGCACCAGTCACAAGGTATGGTTTTGAGTGAATAGTGTACTAAGTTCTAAACAGAGAAGCTTTGTTCTTTTTTCAGGGTTTTCAGCCTTTTCAGATTCCTACTAGAATTATAATTGCCTGTTACATAGCCAAAGCTTTTAAAATCCATATCTATATCTGCTAAAATCCCTTCTAACAGTAAGATTCTCAGCTTACTTTTCACATGGATACGTGTTGAAATTATAGGTTTCTACCAATAAATGTCCTGGGTTGCAAGCTATTTGGTTTAATTTATATTTGAGAAGACTTAACTGTGCCATTTTCAGTTATTTTTTTCCTAGAAAATAAAAGGCATAATATTAAAATAAATATCAGCTGTATTGTTAATACTTACATGTTTATGTGATGCCTACTGTATTCCAGACAGACAGAGCTTTAAATACATTACATCTATTAACTCTTAGTCCTTAACTCACTGAAGTCGTTATGATTATTATCCCCAATTGAATAAATGAGGAAATTGAGGCACAGAAAGATTAAATAACTTGTCTGCAGTCACAGTGAAGAACTGCTCAAACCCATGAGGGCTGGCTCTGCATTTATTCCATTAACTTGGTTATGGAATTAACCTCTGAGTTCTGGCAATTAATTTTTATAATACAGTCAGAAATAAAAATTCCTTAAATATGGCATAGATCCATTTCAAATGAGGACAGTTTTTCTCCTCAGGGAACATTTGGCGATATCTGAATGTAATTTGATTGTCACAGTGAAGGTGGGTGGAGGCCAGAGATGTTGCTAAGTTCTGAAATACACAGGACAGCCTCTACCCACCCCCACCCCCCCAAAAAAAATCACCTGGCCCAAAATGTCACTGAGAATGGAACTCCCATAGACTGATAGAAACTTGGTATAATATACTTTGTATGATTATGTGAGCATAATAGCCTCACATAATAAAGGTTTTTCTTTATTTAAAGATAGCATACCATCTGGTCACTGAGCCTCAGAAACTAAAATGAATGACCTATAATGAAATAGACACCCAAGGAGCCCCAAGTTTTGACCACTAGACTCTTTAATAAGCGGTCCAGGTTTAACTGTGTTAAATCATTCTTCAAACCTCTTGATTTTAAACAAATGGCTTAATGAACTGACATGTTTGTCAGCTGTTGCCCTTGATTTATAGGTTGGCCAGCAGCCTATTGTTGCAGATGGTGACAGAATGTGAGCTATAATTTGACTTGCAAATTTCTAATCAATATAAACCTTCTTTTCTGTACATGTTAAAATCTACATTCAGAATCTAGCTCATCCAGAAAATGGCAGATAAAACCTCCCTGGTGTAAAATAATAATAATAATAAATAAGGGAGAAACAAAAAACAATAAAACGTGAAGTTAGTAAAGGAAAACATTTTTTATGAAAGGTTCAAAAAACAAATTACTAAAAGTGTTTAACTCTGGAGAATAACTTCTTATAGTAAATGCTCTGTTATCCAACATGGTAAATAAGAAAGATATTCATGTTAATGAAATACTCTGCCTAGTAGAAAATAGTCATCACTTCAGTGAATTTAGACTATCAAAAAATACATTACACAGTGCTACTCTGCACTTAACTAAATTCAACTAGTAAGTAGAGGTTTGGACCTGGCGATATAGTGGAGGAATAGAAAAGAACCATTTTACCCTGGCCCTGCCTTCAAGGAACTTATACTGTCATCAGTATTTAATAGTGAATTTATTTTTAAAAACATACCACCTTTTGAAATCAAGGGCTAAACTATAAACACTGTGTGAAGTACATAAACTAAATAAAGGAAGTCACCTACATGAAACAGTAGAAATGTAAGGTCTTACACTTGAATCTGAGGCATGGTTTCTTAAAGTTGTGACATTTGTGTTGGATCTTGAAACATACATGACATTGAGATAGTTCAAGAGAAGCCAGAAAGGACATTCCAAGGCTGTATGTATGTATGTATGCACACATGTGTAAGTGTGCATACACAGACACTTGTATGATGTGCTAGAGGGAAGTAGACTTCAGAGAACAGGAGCAAAGCTATGGAAATACGGATATTGTAAGGGAATAAACCTTGTTCTATAGGTGAAACCGAGAATCCAGGGCCTTGAACGTCAGTGGAGGTGATTGGCTGGAAATGGGAAGTTGAACCCAGTAACTGTGTATTCTTAGGCAGAGTATGACGTGTGGCTTCTGGTGACTCAGAAGAATTTTCAAGACTGTTCTCTGCCTTGGGGCCATCATTTCTTTGAGTTTGCTATTCTTAAAACTTTGTAAATATAATTCCATTTGTTTTTAAAATGTTCTGTCTTAAAAGCTCTGTGTCATTTTCTTATATATAATCGATCTGTCTCCTATTTTGCTGATGGATTGAGTTTTTCATCTTTTTCTGTCTTGGCAGGGCAGTGACAAATGCTTCTCAAGCTAAAGTCCCCATGTCTACTGCAGGACAGACAAGTCGGGGGGTGACCATGGTCAGTCCTTCTACTGCAGGAGGACCTGCCCAAAAGCTCCAGGGAAATGGTGTGGCCGGGAGTTCCAGTGTTGTTCCTACGGCTGTGGTGTCAGCAGCTCACATCCAGACAAGTCCTCAAGCCAAGGTCCTGTTGCACATGACTGGACAGATGACGGTCAACCAGGCCCGCAATGCTGTGAGGACAGGTAAGAAGGAAACCGGATTAGAGCACGTAGGAAGAGTTCACCTGCCTTGTAACAGATCATTTATAAACAGATGTTGAGAAAAGAAGGTATAATATGAAAATAATAACATTAGGAAATAGAAAGAGGCAAAATTCAGTCACTGGTACTATGTAAGTCAGTTTTCATCACTACAACAAATACCTGAGATAAACAATCTGAAAGGAGGAAAGATTTATTTTGACTCATGGTTTCAGAGGTGCGGTTGTTTGGTCCCGTTGCTGTGGACCTGTAGTGAGGCAGAGTGTCATGGAAGAAAGAGTGTAGTGGAGCAGAGCTACTTATTTCATGGCTGCCAGGAAGCAGAGTGTGACAGGAAGGGACCACAGAAAAGATGTGGTCCCTTCAAAGACATGCCCCAGTGGCCTACTTTCTCCATCCAGGCCCCATCTTCTATCAACCCATTGATGAAGTTAGTACCTTTATGCTCCAGTTCACCTCTCAATAGCGCCACCAGCTGGTGAGCAAGCCTTCCACACATGGGCCTCTGCAGGAGACAGTTCATGTCCAAACCACAGCAGACACTCTATATCTGTTTATTTGGGCTAAGCCTGCCTTGCACATTAACTCAAACTGATCTACTGATCTGTAGTTTGAAATAAATTAGGTTGATCCTAAGAATGCCAGCAGTGCAGTGCTTGAAAATAGGATTTCTGTAGTCAAGACCATGGTCGCAATAGATATGTGACTGCTGTATGAGTTTCTGTTAACCAATGTGCTGATTATTTTTGATAAATCTAGTCACAAGTGTTTTGTTTTTTTTTTTAGACTCAGTGGAATCTTAAGTGGCCCTCTTAGTTCTGTAGCATTGAAAACTTTCTTAGGTCTTGGGTAACAATGGTGGGATAAGCCAGGTGCTGGTGGCTCACACCTGATATTCTAGCTACTTAGGCAGCTGAGATGAAGAGGATCATAGTCTGATGGCAGCCCACACAAAAAGTTTATGAGACCCCATATCAACCAATAGTCGGATGCACTGGTGCATGCCTACCATCCCAGCTGCGGCAGGAAGCATAAAATAGGAGGATCTTGGTAAAAAGATCCTATCTCTAAAATAACTAGAGCAAAAAGGGCTAAAGATATGACTCAAATGGTAGAATGTCTTCACAGGAAACTTGAAGCCCTGAAACAAGGGAGGGGTAAACTAAAGGCTTGTGAATTCTGTCATAATAAAATAAAAAGACATAGCCAGATGCTATGCCTGCAATCCTAACTACTCAGGAGTTAGAAAGCAGGATTGCAGTTCAAAGCCAGCCTGGGAAAATAGTTTGTGAGACCCTATCTCAAAATAAAGGGCTGCTGGGGTAGCTCAAGGTGTAGACCCTGAGTTCAATCCCCAGTACCACAAGAAAAAAAATTTTTTAAAAGACAAAAAATGGTTAATAAGAGAAGGACTCAAGGCTGGTGTGGTTTGACACTATGGAGAGCCATCAGAAACTGGCTGAGTGACTCCAATGCTGTGAAAAGTTAGGCCCTGTAACTAAAGGGTCTTGAGATTATAGCTGACCTTCCAGATACTCAACAATCTCAGTGAGCTGAACTGGAAGGAAAAATAGTGTTTAGGGATCCAGCTAAAACTTAAGTGCACTTAAACCACTCTATATCCATTCTTCATCGTAATAAATGGCAGTGGCAACCTTCCGTTATGGTCTGATGCAGTGAAATGATGCATATTTTGGTGAGTAGCATTTAATTGAAAATTGACCTTTGCTGTGTTCCCTCCTGTTGTCTACCAGTGACGGCACATAACCAAGAACGCCCCACGGCAGCAGTGACACCCATCCAGGTGCAGAATGCTGCGTGCCTCGGCCCTGCATCTGTAGGCCTTCCCCATCACCTGCTGGCCTCCCCACAACCTCTGCCTGCAATGGCAGGTCCTGCTGCCCACGTTGCTGCCGTCAGTATAAGTAGAGCCAATGCCCCCCTGGCCTGTGCTGCAGCTGCTTCGTTCACATCCCCGAGCATCACCACTGCCTCTCTGGAGACCGAGCCCAGTGGCCGGACAGTGAACATTCTCCCTGGACTGCCCACATCTCCTGACAGTGCTGCCTCAGCTTGTGGGAACAGTTCAGCAACCAAGCCAGACAAGGACAGTAAAGTAAGACCTATTTCCTGTTTCTCTGCCCATGCTCTGTCCCATAGTTTCCAGTTAATGAAAGGACTTACTGTTCCGTAATCCTTCAGGCGCTTACCATGAGCGAATCACCATGCCAGGTGCTAGGAACACTGTGGGGAGGAAACTCGGGCATCACCTTGTCCTCTTATCTACATCTTGTATTTCTCTACATTTAAACATCAACCAGTTTCCAGGCCTTCTGTTGGTGGGTAGGGAGACCACAGTGAGTAAGACTTAGTCACACATCCTCTTGAAGTTTAGTCACATGGAGGGAGTTCCTTCACCCTTCACTTACTCATGCCCTCATCATTTTGTCATCCTAACTTTTCCTTGTTCACTTGGGTCTTGATTATTGAATATTTTAGTCTTTAGAAACAAAGCAATACAAAAAATTTAATATATGAGGAGTTGGGAAGTAGCTCAAGTGGTAGAGCGCCTGCCTAGAAAAGCCCTGAGTTTAAACCCCAGTACCACAAAAAAATATATATATATATTATAGGTTATATATATAATATATTATATAAATATATATATTATATAATCTATAATATATTATATATAATATATATGGTGTGTGTATATGTGGTTTGAAATTGGTAATCAAAAATGTTGTTTGTGGATTTAATTTATCTGTAATACATCCAACCATAATTAGCATTGTTCCTTGAGAAATAAGACCTGAAATACAGGGAAACTTTTTTTTTTCTGAATCCATAGATTTTTTTTTTTTAAATCTCTCATTTGGGATTAAATTTTAAAGAAAATACAAAATAGAAATTGTTTAAAGGACTCACCCATGGTTGAGTTTGGAAGTGGATAATTTGAGGGAAGAGAAATTGAGACTAAATATCAACAGAAAGCGATGACAGCAAGGTCTGTATAATTGTACTGCAATGCTAGCTTTTTCCTCAGTATTTCATGCATACTCCAAAAAATCTAGACCAGTTCTGCAAGGCTTTAGGGGAATCATAAACTCTTAGCCACCTGGCTCACTAGTAATATATGTTGCTGTATTTAAATGGTTAGGGCAGCCTGTGCACAGAAATTTATAAGGAAATAAACTTTACAGCCCACTAAAAAGTTAATGTTTAATTAACTTTTAACATAAGAGTTTTTGAAAAAGATTGGTATCTGTTCAGTGTTTATAATTAACTGCATTAAGCTGACATGTCCAGTTTTGTTAATGGCTTTGAAAGAATGATAGTTTAGAGTTTAAGGCTTGGACAACGTGTCTCAGGGTCCTTGTTGCTGATGTGAATGGGCTCTTTAGCCCCTGCTCTCTGGAACTCCTAACCATAGAACTCATCCAGTCTCTGAGGCTTGTAAAGTACCCAGGGTAAACAGGATAATGGGTCCCCAAAGGTGTCCACCTCATAATCCCTGGAAACTTTGAATAGATTTCCTTATTGGTAAAAAGGACTTTGCAGGTGTGATTAAGTTAAGAGTTCTGAGTAGACCTAATGTTAAGCATAAGAATCTTCATGAAGGGGAGGCAGGAGGTCAGGACAAGAGAAGGAAAGGTGGTGGTCAAATAGAAGTGGCAGTGATGTGAAAAGGGGGCAAAAGTCAAGCAATGCAGGCAGAGTCTAGAGTCTGGAAAAGGGTAGGAAATGGGTTTTTTCCTATAATGTTCAGAAGAAATGTGGCCCTGTCAACACCTTGATTTTAAGACCTCATTTTTACCACAGAGTTCGTGGTAATTTGTCCTAGCAGCCGCTAAAAATATGACCTTAAGTATCAACCCTTTAGTACCTACCCATCTCTGACAAATGGCCACTGTCTCTGCTTGGGCACCTCAATGACTGTAAGTCCCCTAGCTTCAGAGGACAGGTCCCTTGCCATCTTCAGACAGCTCTTACTCAGAAGTTTATTGAACACGTATCTGTCTGCCTGAGCCCTCTTTTTTTTAACAGATCACATAGAAAATGCCAGTCTCAGGGTTGCCCCTTTCCTTATGTCTTCTTTCTCTCTCTCTTTTTTTAATCGAGATACTGGGGTTTGAACTCACGCCCTCACGCTTGCTAGGCAGGCGTTCTGCCACTTGAGCCACTCTGCCAGCCCTCTTTTTTCTTTATTTTTAAGACTATACTTGGAAGTTGTTTTCACCTCGTCTTATCTACTACCTCATTTAGTGTTCCAAGTCCACTAAAGGGACTTTGCTAGTTGATATTGAGTAATTCTGTGATTATTGTCACTTAACAATTGTGAGTCCTTACAATTAGAGTGTCATTTAGTCCACATTCCTACATCATGTCTACAAGGGAATCATGGGAGAGTCTGCCAGATGCCACATTGAAATCCAGATGTCTTCTACATTCTCTCATCTAAATAGTTATCCCATCAACTTTGCTGCTTCTTATTAGTAACAAACATCTCCTGGAAATGTCTCCCCTTCAGTCTTATTTCCCTTTTAAGTGCTCATAAATCTTTCATCTAATACTAGATGGTCCCAGGTGGTCCACAAAATGCCTTGTCTTCTTTTTGAAAATTGGGACTACACATACCCCTCTTTTTTTTGTTGTTGATTTTATTTAGTTTAAACGAAATTATAACACAATTTCAAATATGTCTGACTTTATTATCTATCAGTCCCTTAAATTTTTGCTTTTTTAAAATGAAGCCACAACAACAAAGGACAATAATGTGTAGATTGATTTTTATCTTCAGGAAGATAATTCCTGGGCCACAATTCTAGAGGCTGCCTGGAATGAAAAAACCCTTCAAATGTCAATGTAGGATGAAGTCACTGACTCCTGTGACTCCAAAACAGTAAGAAATTCCACATAGAGTATAGTATGGAGGATTAACCAAAATATAGTTAAGACATCTGTCAAAAACTCCACGCACACCTCTAACACAACTACATCTGGTAATGTTTTTCAGATCACTGATTTAAAAAAACAAAAGTTTAAAAATTTGGTAATAGTTGTATATTACCAACAACAAACAGCAATTATTTTTGCTCCAGTTTTCTCGGGGACAATAAATAATTCTCCTGGGAGATAATGTGTTGTAGTGGAAAGCGCATGGAGTTTGGAGTATGACAGGACTGGGTTTACATCCTAGCTCTGTCACTTCGCAGTTCCTCAATCTGTAGAAGTTTTCAGCTTTGGTTCTTCATCTATAAAATATGCAGACAGCAGCAAGGGGACGCAGGCCACATATGGGGGATCACAGGTGGGGAAGGAGGGCTGGATGATGTAGTTGGCGAAGGTGATGGCAATGGTGACCTGACTGGTGGGCTCAACAATTAGCAGTGAGGCCCACAGACGGATGAAGCCAATGAAGCCCCCAAAGGCCTCTAAAATGTAAGCATAGCTGGCCCCTGACTTGGTGATGGTGGTCCCCAGCTCAGCATAGCACAGGGCACCGAGAACAGAAAAGAGCCCACCAATGGCCCATACGACTAGCAACAACCCATAGGAGGCAGTGTACACCAGCACCCCTTTGGGTGAGACAAAGATCCCTGAGCCAGTCATATTGCCCACCACCAGGCTGATCCCATTCAGCAGAGAGATCTTCTTAAATTGCACAGTTTCCGAGGGCTCTTAAGGGGGTGAACTGACATGTTCTTCCACCCTGAACTGGTTGGCTGAGGTGAGAAGGTGGTAGGTGGGTGTGGGGCTCCCGTGCTCCCTGGCTTCCATGGCAAGTGGCTCCTGCACACCTGTTTACTGTGGCCTCCGGTGGCCAGGCGCCTCCAGGATGCTGTATGGTGCTGCTGCCACCACGGCCACCAAGGCCCACATACCCATCTTTGCCTGTTGAATTGACTCTGATTCCAGATTCACCAGAATCCCTCGGAGATTACTGGTTGCATTGCAGTTGTTTATTTTCTCTGTATGCTGAGTGGAAGTCAGCCTGTCAAGAGTGTGCATTAGATTTCTGCTCCCAATCTCTTCCCATTCCCTCCATATCAGGATTTGTTCTTCTGTTCTAATATGATGATCCATCCCTTCCTTCCTCCCGTCTGAGAACCACCCCAGGTCTTTCTTATTCTTTTTGTTTCAAACATAGCTTTAAAATAGCCCTTTAAACGTGGGCCTTTTTGTCATTAGCATTTTGGCAAGTTTAAGTTCATTCTGATCCTTCGCCTTCTTGAATTGTAATAAGCCGTCTTATGTTCTTTGTTATGGACCCTTCCCTTGATCTTTTTGTACATGTCCTTTAAAAGTTTGAGCCCATTAGCCTGCTCCCTGGGGATTACGTCAGTACCTTTAAACCCCTCTACATTTTCCTCTGCAAGGATAATTTGCAATTGTATGGGTAGAGTTTCATTTTTGAGAGTCCTCCCATTCCTCTTGAAGCATCTTCCCTTTTGAATTTCATGTCATGCATACTTTCTCTTTGAACTTTTAAAATCAGTTCTTTCAGAGTTCAAATCTATCACCAGCTTCTTTTAGGGTGCTTTCTTCCCAGTTCTCAGTATTTCTGCCTCTCCAGCTGAGCATGTCCAGCCCCTGTCTGGTCTCTACTTCTCTCCCTTCAGCAGATGAGAATTAGATCCAAAGTTGCAGTTTGCTCATCCTTCTGTGGGATTAAACTATCAGCAAGTCAAGGGAAGAGTCTATCAGAGATTCGAGTTTTAGTGGAGACTTGCAGCAGATATGTGGGTATTTAACAATGCTATGCCCTTATTGTTTCTGTTGTCCCTTGTCATTTGGTGGTCATCATCATCATCTGTTTACTTAAATTTGCCAGCTAGTGCATGGTCTGTCCCCCAAAAGAGAGCAAGCCTATTGGCATCTTCTCCGTGCTCAGATGTCCTGCAGTGGGCTACCAGTGGCATTCTGCAGAGTGTCTGACTTTTTGATGGCAGCTCCTCACCTAGCTGGGCTGTTCCTTTTGAGCATTATTTTATTTGAAAGTGCTACCTCACAGTCTCAGGGGTATTTGAAAGCTGGGTTTTTTGTTCCAGAATCAAAATCTCTAGCCACCTTTTATATATGCACTTTGTATTTGATCAGTATTTTAAATATCAT